CGCCTCGCCCTCCACTCACGAGGACTTCGAGGGTCGGATCAAGTCGTTGACGACTGAGATATCGAGTCTCAACCGACGGAACATCGAGTTGGAGACCGACTGCAAGCGGCTCCAGAAACGGGTCGCCAATTGGGTGAATCAGTTGAGCGCTTCCGACAACACGATTAGGGAACTACAGTCCAGGGAATCTGATCTCACCGTACGTTCCCCTCATTTACTGCATTCAATGCTATTTGAAGTGTTTTAGTGTTAGTTATGTATAGTATTCAGCATATGATTAGTGAAACACTGGTTATAATGATCACTAAATTTGTTATTTACTAAAAGTGATATTAATTTTTATATTTTTGTGAATTAATGATATTCTGTATGGAAATGTAGGCAAATCTGGACGCAAAGGACAGTCAAATCGCTGTACTGAAGGTCCGACTCCAGGAGACCGACGCTGAACTGCAGCAACGGTTGACCCAAATCGACACATTAGAGCAGTTGAACGAGTCGTTGCGTACCAGCGCTGAGGCCAACACGAGCACCACCAACGACACCGTCGAGGACTACCGGCAACAGATACGCCAATTGGAGGGCGACCTACAGATGGAAAGGGAGGCGCTGAAGGCCACGCGGAGCCAAACCATGGCACAGATCGGTCGACTCGAAGATAACCAAAAATCACTCGTAATTTGAATTTTAAAAATTATTTTTTTGTAAATCCTATCATAAAGTGTATTATGTTTTTAATGTAGGCTTTCCTATAGTTAGCAAAACATTATTATCTAATTTGTGAACAAAATTATTACTTATTTTTAATTTACGTATTGATTGTATGGCCCCACAGGTGGACGAGATATCGATACTACAGCGCAATATAGCGGTGGAGAAGTCGGCGAATCAGGAACTAGAGGTACGGCTGAAGAACGCACTGAAAATGAGCGAAGACGTGGACAGGGATTACAATGAGTTCAAAGTGAAGGCCAACAAAACGCTGGCCGATAAGGACGAACTCATACGCGCCCTCAAGAGCACCG